ATGCCACCTCCACCAGCACCCCAATTTAGCGCTGACGGGGACGTCGACGCCGCTGAAGGGGACGTCGACGCCGCTAAAGGGGACGTCGACGCCGCTGAAGGGGACGTCGACGCCGCTGACGGGGACGTCGACGCCGCTGAAGGGGACGTCGACGCCGCTGAAGGGGACGTCGACGCCGATGAAGGGGACGTCGACGCCGCTGAAGGGGACGTCGACGCCGCTGAAGGGGACGTCGACGCCGCTGAAGGGGACGTCGACGCCGCTGAAGGGGACGTCGACGCCGCTGACGGGGACGTCGACGCCGCTGACGGGGACGTCGACGCCGCTGACGGGGACGTCGACGCCGCTGACGGGGACGTCGACGCCGCTGACGGGGACGTCGACGCCGCTGACGGGGACGTCGACGCCGCTGACGGGGACGTCGACGCCGCTGACGGGGACGTCGACGCCGCTGACGGGGACGTCGACGCCGCTGACGGGGACGTCGACGCCGCTGACGGGGACGTCGACGCCGCTGACGGGGACGTCGACGCCGCTGACGGGGACGTCGACGCCGCTGACGGGGACGTCGACGCCGCTGACGGGGACGTCGACGCCGCTGACGGGGACGTCGACGCCGCTGACGGGGGACGTCGACGCCGCTGACGGGGACGTCGACGCCGCTGACGGGGACGTCGACGCCGCTGACGGGGACGTCGACGCCGCTGACGGGGACGTCGACGCCGCTGACGGGGACGTCGACGCCGCTGACGGGGACGTCGACGCCGCTGACGGGGACGTCGACGCCGCTGAAGGGGACGTCGACGCCACTGTCGGAGACGTCGACGCCGCTGACGGGGACGTCGACGCCGCTGACGGGGACGTCGACGCTGCTGACGTAGACCTCAACGCCGCTGACGGAGGAAGACCTCACTGACAAGTTTGACGGGCAGACAAAGGCGCAGCGTTACCGGTGTTTGTTTTGGTTTTCTCGTTTTCTGTGCAGCCATTTTTTATGCTAATAATTCAGTGTTTAAAGGGGTAGCTAAAGTGAATTGATCGAGTGGGGACGGATCGAACGAAATAAGGCAGGAGTAACAAAGAGAGAATTAGGGAGGAAAAAGGGGAAGTGAGAGAGAATAAGGTGAGTGAGGGGGCTGTAAGAGGGCGGAAGAGCCTGCTGACTTCATCCATTACCCTCGGGAAGTAAGGGGAAGTGAGGGGAAGGCAGAGGGGAGGGGGAGGAGGTAGACACGATTGCTACCCATGGTGGCTGGGTTTAATTTTTGTTTACCATCGAACTTTTCCCTATGGCCCCATTCCTGTCGCCTTTGGTATTCAACTCCCCATTAGAGAAGGGAGAACTACCAAAGTTTTGGAAAATGACTGATGTGGTGGTGGTGTCAGCCATTATACACGACAAGTCACTTCTATAAACATTATTATTATTATATAACAAAAGAGCATCCCTAGGACAATTAACACTGAACCCACAAAGGCTCGTTGAACATTTTGAAAATAAATAATTTTCAAACACTAGCCTGGATTTGGAGAATTTAAGTACCAATTAAACAGACATAATAGAGATTTCCAGCAAGATTTTTCAACACAAACACCTCACAGAAGCTGTAGATTCCAGCGGGTGTTGCGGAAGTGTGTGAAGCTGGGAGAGAGAAAGAGTACCTCCCAGGAGGAAAACTAAGAGTCACAGTGAGAGGAGAGATAAGAGAGTGGAGAGGAAACAGATGATATCTATACCTTCTAATATACACATCAGTGACCATGACAAAATAATTATTTTCCTTGATATCATTAATTGGCAACAACTAATTACAGTTGCTTTGTGTGTGTGTGTGTGTGGGTGTGTGGGTGTGTGGGTGTGTGTGGGGGGGTGTGGGTGTGTGGGGGACAAGCGGTGTGTGTAAGTGAAGATATCGAGGACCTACTAGGCTAGCCACTCACCCTGCCCAGGATACAACCCCCACAACAGTTGGCTAACTCCTGGGGGGTCTATTATACTGCTAGGTGAACAGGTATACCAGGAGAAAGAAAACGTGCTGTAGATGTGGCTTAGTAAATGGCCTCTAGACTTTAACTTAGACAACTGCATAGTTGTGGAGAGAGGAGTATAAATGAGAAGGTCTATACACAGCCTTGGGGTGAGGCAGCTATGATGGCAGGCGGATTGTCCGCCCCGCTGACACGGTGTGTGTACTAACCTAGTTGTGCTTGCGGGGGTTGAGCTCTGGCTCTTTGGTCCCGCCTCTCAACTGTCACTCAACTAATGCAGTTCCTGAGCCTATTGGGCTCTATCATATCTACATTTGAAACTGTGTATGGAGTCAGCCTCCACCACATCACTGCCTAATGCATTCCATTTGTCAACCACTCTCACTGAAAAAATTCTTTCTAATATCTCTGTGGCTCATTAGGGCACTCAATTTCCACCTGTGTCCTCTAGTGCGTGTGCCCCTTGTGTTAAATAGTCTGTCTTTATCTACCCTATCAATTTCTCTGAGAATCTTGTATGTGGTGATCATGTCCCCTCTAACTCTTGTCTCCCAGTGACGTGAGGTTTAATTCCCGTAGTCTCTCCTCGTAGCTCATACCTCTCAGCTCGGGTACTAGTCTGGTGGCAAATCTTTGAACCTTTTCCAGTTTAGTCTTATACTTGAATAGATATGGACTCCATACTGGAGCTGCATACTCCAGGATTGGTCTGACATATGTGGTATACAAAGTTCTGTAAGATACCTTACACAAGTTTCTAAAGGCCGTTCTTATGTTAGCTAACCTGGCATATGCTGCTGATGTTATCCTCTTGATATGAGCTTCAGGGGACAGGTCTGGCGTGATATCAACCCCCAGGCCTTTCTCTCTCTGACTCTTGAAGTATTTCATCTCCCAAATGATACCTTGTATCTGGTCTCCTGCTCCCTACACCTATCTTCATTACATTACATTTGCTTGGGTTAAACTCTAACAACCATTTGTTCGACCATTCCTGCAGCTTGTCCAGGTCTTCTTGAAGCCTCAAGCTGTCCTCCTCTGTCTGAATCCTTCTCATAATTTTGGCGTCGTCAGCAAACATTGAGAGGAATGATTCTATACCCTCTGGGAGATCATTTACGTATATAAGAAACAGGATAGGTCCGAGTATAGAGCCCTATGGGACTGTCACCCCCTCACTGTAACTCTGTTTCCTAGTGTGTATTCACCTAGTTGTGCTTGCGGGGGTTGAGCTCTGCTCTTTCGGCCCGCCTCTCAACTGTCAATCAACTGTTTCTACTACTACTATTACTATTTTTCCCCACACCACACCCACACACCCCAGGAAGCGGCCCGTGACAGCTGACTAACTCCCAGGTACCTATTTACTGGTAGGTAACAGGGGCATAGGGTGAAAGAAACTCTGCCCATCGTTTCTCGCCGGCGCCCGGAATCGAACTCGGGACCCCCATCACGTGTCCAGCGTGCTGTCCGCTCGGCCACCGGCTCCCCCACTGTATGGGTGTGTGTGTGTGGGGGGGGGGGGAGTGGGAGTGGGTCGCATATGAGACTATAGACACAGCCATCTCCAGCATACACCCCCCCTCCCCCCCTCCCCCAGGGGGTACCCCCCCCCCACACTAATAAAATGGCAATAGTGAGTCAATAAGCCCGAGACTAACCCGTAACAACACGACGTGACGTTGATTACCCCTGATCTCCCCCTATTGTGTACCGTGGGGGAGGGTACACCCCCCTATTGTGCACCGTGGGGGAGGGTACACCCCCCTATTGTGCACCGTGGGGGAGGGTACACCCCCTATTGTGTACCGTGGGGAGGGTACACCCCCTATTGTGCACCGTGGGGGAGGGTACACCCCTATTGTGTACCGTGGGGGAGGGTACACCCCCATTGTGTACCGTGGGGAGGGTACACCCCCTATTGTGTACCGTGGGGGAGGGTACACTCCCTATTGTGTACCGTGGGGGAGGGTACACCCCCTATTGTGTACCGTGGGGGAGGGTACACCCCTATGTGTACCGTGGGGAGGGTACACCCCTATTGTGTACCGTGGGGAGGGTACACCCCCTATTGTGTACCGTGGGGAGGGTACACCCCCTATTGTGTACCGTGGGGGAGGGTACACCCCCTATTGTGTACCGTGGGGAGGGTACACCCCCTATTGTGTACCGTGGGGGAGGGTACACCCCTATTGTGCACCGTGGGGAGGGTACACCCCCTATTGTGCACCGTGGGGAGGGTACACCCCTATTGTGTACCGTGGGGAGGGTACACCCCCTATTGTGTACCGTGGGGGAGGGTACACCCCCTATTGTGTACCGTGGGGAGGGTACAACCCCATATTGTGTACCGTGGGGAGGTACACCCCCATATTGTGTACCGTGGGGAGGGTACACCCCCATATTGTGTACCGTGGGGAGGGTACACCCCCTATTGTGCACCGTGGGGAGGGTACACCCCCTAATGTGTACCGTGGGGAGGGTACACCCCCTATTGTGTATCGTGGGGGAGGGTACACCCCCTATTGTGTACCGTGGGGAGGGTACACCCCATATTGTGTACGTGGGGAGGGTACACCCCCTATTGTGTACCGTGGGGAGGGTACACCCCCCTATTGTGTACCGTGGGGGAGGGTACACCCCCTATTGTGTACCGTGGGGAGGGTACACCCCATATGTGTACCGTGGGGAGGGTACAACCCCTATTGTGTACCGTGGGGGGAGGGTACACCCCTATTGTGTACCGTGGGGAGGGTACACCCCTATTGTGTACCGTGGGGAGGGTACACCCCCTATTGTGTACCGTGGGGGAGGGTACACCCCCTATTGTGCACCGTGGGGAGGGTACACCCCCTATTGTGCACCGTGGGGAGGGTACACCCCCTATTGTGTACCGTGGGGAGGGTACACCCCCTATTGTGTACCGTGGGGGAGGGTACACCCCCTATTGTGTACCGTGGGGAGGTACACCCCATTATTGTGTACCGTGGGGAGGGTACACCCCCATATTGTGTACCGTGGGGAGGGTACACCCCTATTGTGTACCGTGGGGAGGGTACACCCCCTATTGTGTACCGTGGGGAGGGTACACCCCCTATTGTGTACCGTGGGGAGGGTACACCCCCTATTGTGTACCGTGGGGGAGGGTACACCCCCATATTGTGTACCGTGGGGAGGGTACACCCCCATATTGTGTACCGTGGGGGAGGGTACACCCCATATTGTGTACCGTGGGGAGGGTACAACCCCCTATTGTGTACCGTGGGGAGGGTACACCCCCTATTGTGTACCGTGGGGGAGGGTACAACCCCTATTGTGTACCGTGGGGGAGGGTACACCCCCCTATTGTGTACCGTGGGGAGGGTACACCCCCTATTGTGTACCGTGGGGGAGGGTACACCCCCTATTGTGTACCGTGGGGGAGGGTACACCCCCTATTGTGTACCGTGGGGGAGGGTACACCCCCTATTGTGTACCGTGGGGAGGGTACACCCCCTATTGTGTACCGTGGGGGAGGGTACACCCCCTATTGTGTACCGTGGGGAAAATTGTATACCAAGATCATAAGAGAGGAACTAGTTGAGCATTTCGAGAGAAGCCAAATCGCCTCACCCATCACACCACTAAACTACCCTGTTTTTACTACCTTGTAACAC